GGGGAGTTTTACACTCAATCTCCTCCCATGCATCATTCTAGGGGGAGCTTTTCATCATATAGAACTTCCATTGCATAAATTTGCATTTTTCATCCCAGAGCCTCTGGTTCCATTATCCAGAGCCTCTGGACACCAAAATGCTAGATATATGATGAATAAAACATGTGTAAGTAACCCGATCCCCTCTAGTCCTACATCATTGGTTATCCATGCTTAACCAGAGCCTCTGGTTCATCAATCCAAGGCTCATAATACATACAACCCAACAATTCATCGATGAACTTATTCTTCATGCGCAACCAGACATCTGGTTCCCCATCAAATGAGTCATGTCCAACCAGAGCTGTCTGACAAAACAATTTTTTCTTTCAAAAAACGCATCTCAATTGTAAACTCTTTAAAGATTATACAACATTGCAGCTTTTGTGACTAAAAAGTATACTTCATGAGTTTTTAGAAGACCAAAACTTCATAATTAGTATTAATCTTTCAATTAGATGGACTTTTAAATTGTTTTTGGCGCGATATTTCAAGAAATATTATTTGGAATTTTTTTTCCAAGTAACCCAACCGTCACTTGCACAAAAGCCTGACACATTACCAGCCTGTTCCCCATAAACCTCTTCACCTTCCCCATGACGACACGTGTCCTCCAACATTAATGGCATGATACTGTCAAGACGCTACACGATCCCCACCAAATCACCTTTTTGCCAACGTCTCCCACGATCATGATTACCATTTAAAAATAATATTTATTTTTTTGACGTTTCCCCTCCTCCACCTATAAATACCCATCTTCCCCAAAACATTTCCTCTTTACGCTCCCAAAACCTGCAACTACATACAGACAATCTGAAAAAACTCAAAACCTGCAACCTCAACTTACAATGGCGTCTTCCGCCTCTCATGACTCAAACAACAACGACAGCCATGTGCAATCCACCGACGCCGATAGCCATACCCTGGTGTTCCTTCCCCTAAAACCCAACAACCACGCGATCGACCTCCGCACCGAACTATTTGACACAAAGTATGCCATCATGATAGAGTTCTTCTAGAACTGTATTCTACAATCGGTGTTGACGTTAGTCGACAATGGCGTACCGTTCAGGTACGTCCAACAGTACTGGCAGACTTGTGAGTACATCCCCAACAGCCATGGAATCATGGGGGATATTGACGCTCCAAACGACATGATCTGTTCCGTCAAAATCTCCCGGGCAAAGGTCTCCAAAGTCCTTTGTATCCCCACACGCCAAGAACTCGGCATTGACAACTACGCCGAACTACCCACAAGCTCCGATATCCTCCGCTTCATCCACATGCTAGGTTACAATCGTGACCTACGTAATGCCTCTGAGTTTAAGAGGCAATTCCGTCCTCTAATGTGGAATATGTTCTTTTCTATATTGAACAGGGCTCTGACCTGCAAGCTGGGATCGATGGATCAGGGCAACATCAACATCATGACTATCATGTACGGCCTCTTCTTCAATCTGCCACTGGATTACACTGTCCTCATCTACAACGAAATCCATGCAGCGGTACTCAAGAAGTGCAAGCTTCAAGCCGCAGGAAAGCCACTGTCGTTCGTGCTTTACCCACGATTCCTCGCTCCCTTCATCAGGGATGCGATGAGGAGACACGACCTCCCGACTGATGGACCATTCACACCACAAGTTACAATGCATGGTCATCGTCCACCAATCTCGAAGGACGGCTACACCATCGAGAGGACAGTCTCTCGAGCCATGCTCAACGTCATACCAGAGACGTCTGAGATAAGGCAGACCTATGAACGCTCTCTGTTGTCCCAAGAACCGAGGGCGGCTATCCCAAAGCACTTAGAGCCGTCCCTAGAAACCAACGAGGGAGCACAAGAATTGTCTTCATCGGATGATGAAAATGATGATGATGACTCTCCACGTGCATCCCCCGACCCTTCATAAACAATATCCATTCCCACTATCAAAAGGGCACCCACCACCACTACCCCTAGCGATCAAGGCCAAAAGGGTATTGAACAAGGATGACCCAGTCCAATCCCACACCCAGCCAACCATCCAAAAGCCATCCTTCGGGCTTCTGGAGATGACACAGCCGAGAAATTCCACCATGCATCACCTCCCTCCCAACAGAGGGGCGATGAACAAATAAGAGCCACTTCGCTTCATTGCTCGCCACTATCCTTCACACACCCAGAAGCATGTGTTGCTTATGGCATTGCTAACCCCTCAGATCGTTCAAAGCGATCTCCTGTTCATGCACAAAAACCCCCTTCAATACTTGATCTGGTGAAGGGGACACACATCTACTTCCCTTACCCGGCCTCTGAAACCGAGGAAGAAAAAGAAGTTGTAGCAACATCACCAGATAGCTCCTCACTAGAAGGCTATCAAGGACGTGATGGAATTCCTTCACGACCCACATTCTCACAGGGCCAAGAAGGCGCCTCTGGAGCTGAGGCTCAACCTGCAGCATTCGTTGCTGCATGGGTTACCCTTGTGGCTGATCTGGTCATAAAGGCTGAGTTCCAAGCCTTTGTAGACACGATTCACCGGTCCTTGGAAGACCTAAAACTCATCATCAAAGGGATTGTCAACAACCCTCCATCCATTGACCTAACCCCCCTACGACAATCCCTTGCAAACCTTGAAGCCCAAACCCGAGACAACACCACCTGTCTCCAAATGCTACAACAGACAGTAACCCAACATCACAACACCTCCTTTTCCCTTGCCACCCAACGAAACCAACTCCAAATTCACTCCATCGCCACCCTCACGGCCAAAGCAACAGCAACCGATGAAACCTTAGCCTCCATCACCAACAACCTAAACACCATATCCCAAACCCTAAACACCCTCCCAGCCTCAATCTCATCTCAAATCCCCCAACCTACCCCAACCACAACCACATCCATCGATGAAACCCTAGCCTCTCTTTCTACCCAAATGACCACCATCCAAAATACCCTCTCCTCCCTCCCTTCTTGTTCACAAAATTTGTTGTTTTGCATGTGGAGCACATGATTCTTCTCTTGCTAAGATGAATCAAATCAGTAGTAGATCTTACAAAACAAGGAAGACGATTAGAAACAACAGGGGTACATAATGAAACAGATTCAGATTTACTGACCCAAATGCTTTTAACCTTAGAAGAATAATTGGGTGATCCGATGACGTACCCTTGATAGTACTGATTAGAAGAACGAGAATAATTCTTAGATATAGTAGATTTAGGACTGCTTGAATAACTGTTCGATTTGGAATAGCCATAAAAGCTGGTTTTACATTGAGAAGGAGAACCAATCGAGCTTTGAGCACAAGAAAAGTCTTTGACTTTCTGTAAAAGCTGGTCTCTTTCAACAGTAACTAAATCAAACTTATTTTTAAGTTCATTTCTCATCTTCAATTCAGTTTCAAGGTCTGTCTCCAGATCAGACAATTTCTTTGTAGTATCCAGGAGTTTACCTTTTAACTCCTTCTGAAGCATTTAAAACTTCTTTTTCTGATTTATTAATTCTCTTCTCTCTTCATCTGAGCTGCTTTTCTCATTCTCATAAGCGATGTCAAGCCATTTTTTCTTTTTAGCAAGCTCTTTAGCAATTGTTTCTTTATAGTATTTCTCTTCTCAAGAGCAAATTGCTTCTTCTCTTCATCTAAAGCTTTCTGCTTTAGAGCAATGCTGTCAGATATTTCTGTGTTTGGCTCTGACACTCTTCTGTGATGTCTTTCTTCTCTTTATCATTTTTGGCTCGTTCCAAGATGATCAGTTGCTCAAAATCGGAGATTTGATTCAAAAGTAATTTAGTGTTCAACTCAAGAGAGTTGATCTTATTTTCATAAGATAAGCGTTCAGCATCAAATCGTTTCTCGAAATCAATAAATCTTTTCTTTTCTTTTTCCAATTCCTTTCTCTCTGCATTTAAAACCTTCTCAATTTCTAAAACTTTATTCCTCTCAAAAGAGTCAACTTGCAATTCAGATCTATGCAGTTTAGCTGTTAAGTCTTCTATCTGTTTCTTCAAACTTACTGTCTCTTGTGGATCATAAGCAGTTTTCATCAGATCACTCAGCTTTTCTTGCAAAACTCTCTTCTCTTCTTTCTCTCTCTCATTACAGTCAGTAAGACGAATTGTCCATGATATATTCTTGTTAAGTTCAGAATTTAGTTTATTGTATTTCTCATTAAGCTCTTTATACTCTCTCTCCAATGAAACTGCAATTTTAAAATCAGATTGATTAATTGGATCAAATGCTGTGAAATCAGATAAAAGAAATAAAAAACAGTTAAGCTCAAACACACAAACAGAAAAACACAAAAACTAATGAGAAATTAGAAAAACGACGAAAAACTGTATAAAATCAGTAAAAACAGTCAAAACTGTTGAAAATAATTAAAAACTATTAAAAACAGTCAAAACAGTTATAACTTATCAGAAACAGTTACTCGACGGAAAACAGATCAAAATTCTCAAACAGTTCAAAAAAAAAAACTAAGCAGTAAAACAAAAAAAATTGCTAAATAGATAAAATTTGATCCCAAATAAAATGAAAGAAGCTCGCAACAAAATCCCTTAATAACTAGCCCAAACACAACAAATACATGATGACTCTATGATTACACCAAATGAAAGTCTGGTCAATTCAAACAGTTCCTGTATGTTTGGAATACACAACAAAAGTACCAGTGTTCACACCAAAGTCACCTTCTTGTTATCTGCTGCAACCTTAAGCTTGCGATCAAATAGCTTTTGCAGCAATCTCTCCAGCAACTGAAATTTTCGACACTGTTCTACTATACTGGGGACTGTCAAACAAAGGTCAGGCTTCAATAATTTCCCTTTGAACTGTTAAAGTATCAAATGCATCTGCTGCAACCAAGGCAAAGTGAATCAGCAATAGAAAGATGTCTAAACCAAAAACAATCAATCAAGACAAAAAACAAGACCCAAATCTTTAACAAATCTTCTAAGTTCTCAACAATTGGTTCTTGCTTCAAGCTACAACTTCAGCAATTAATGGAGACTCTAAATTCCACAGAATCTCACTATATTAGATCTGTGAAGCCAAATAATCTTCTTAAACCTGGCATCTTTGAGAATGACAGTCAACAACTTGGATACAATTTGCTTACACCTATAACAAAGAGCGCTTAACTGCTGAAATCATTGAGCTTATCACCGCTATTCTAGATGAGAACCTGCCTAATCCACAACAGATGCTTAATCTTTCTGGATTTTCGGTTCTTGGGTTTTTATTGCAATCAGTGGGTTACCAACAGCTTAATATGGACACTTTATCAGCCATGTTTCTCATTCAGCAATTTGATAATGATCCAAGGCTTCTCGAGAGTCTGTGTTGTTTTCCACGCGTTCTTGATATTATTCACCAATTTTACTAGGATAACATGCCCGAATGTTCTTTGCTCTTAGACACCCTTGAACTGTTTGCTTGTAATCCTGAGGTTGACACTGGCCTAGCGAAGTGTCTCCTCCACAGTTTGCAGCTTGCACCTGAGAAAACTGTTTCCTCTTATAGAACACTTGATGCAATTCCTCGAGTGCTCAAAGTTTCTTGTATTCAAGCTCAAGAGTTCAAGAAATCAAATTCACCAGGGACAATGCATAAAAAATGAAAAATCTGAATCCTTAAGCAATTAACAAAAAATGCTTTAAAAGTCTTGTGCAAATAATTATGAAGCAGCTGTCTTGAGCAATTAAGACCAAAAATTAACACAGTGATATGCTTTTACAAAATTATACCCCTGTGTTCGATTTTCAGTAATCGATTTTGAACCACTAACAAGTATTGAGCGATGAACATAAGAATCCAGATGAGATGTTGTCCGATTTAGAAGAATTACATATGAAGCAGTAATCAATTTACACTAAACAAACAGAACCTGTAGATGAGCAAGATACTGAGCAATTTAAGAAAAAAATTCACATCGAACAGCCTATGAGCGATGAACTAGTGAGCGGTTTACTCCTTATTGAGCAATTTACAACTAAATTGGGTGAAAACTAGATGGACTGAGCGATGAACAACAAACCCGGTTAAGCTCTGTCCGATTTACCAACCTCCGGTCACGACCTGAGTTATGCCAAGCGATTTATAGAATCCGCTCAAACAAATCTTGAATCCGACTGAATATTGTTAAGCGATAAAGACAAAAACAGTCGATAACCTTGAGCGATTTAGCCTGAGTGATTTACCAATCTCCGGTCACAACTTGTGCGATTTGTCAAGCGATGAAGGAGAACTCCGATCAAGCCTTCTGCGACTTGCAACCTAAATCGTTCACAGCCTGGGCGATTTACGACTTATCCGCTCACAACTCGAGATGTAGCAAACGATTTAAAGATATCCTGGTAAGACATGAGCGATTTACACAATCTGGTTCCAAGTCTTTGTGCGATGAAGTGAAGAAATCGATGAAGATACCTGCGACTTAGAAGAGAAACAGGTTATATGGGTTGAGAAATGAGATTGGGCTTTTTATCGATAAGGTCTAAACAGGATGGGCCTAATCTGGTTGGGCTAGGCAAAAACACAAAACAACATACAAAATACACAAAAGAAGATCAAAAACTGATTTTTTTTGAATTTTCAAGAACAAAAAAAATTTCAAAAACACAAAAATTCACCAAAAACTTTAAAACAATGATCAACATACAAAATCTTGTGAATAACAAAGATTCACAATCAAAAAATGCACAGAACGATTATGATTTTAACACAAAACCGCAAGATTTTAAAAAAATTTGGATCAAACTCAAAAGAATATGAAGAACAAGAACACATGATGAACAGATGAAAATTTTCAGAAATATTTCTTAAAAAAAATCTTCAAAAACAATGATTTTCTCTTTTGATTTCTTGCACACTCCGCTCTGATACCAATTGTAGATCCCTGATAATCAATCTTCAAGATAATACTTATCTATGGCAGATTCAAGTATAAACATTAAGAACATTCAAGATGAAGTTTGAGAAAGTCAAATCTCACAATATGGTCAAACTCTTATTTACGTAATCAGATTTAACAATGAAAGAATCCTACACAAATTACAAAGACTTACCCTTTATATAGGGTCAAACATGTAAACAAAGTCAAAGTCAAACAATCTAAAGAAAAGTCAAACACGATGACTTTTATACAATTATAGACAAAATTAACTTTCAAGACGAATACAACTTTACACTGAATTTTAGTCCTAACATTCTCCCCCTTTATATTCAGACTTGAAAGAATTTGCGCGCTTTGAGTCTCGTTTGAACTTTATTGCTTTAAGCACTCTATGTCTTCTTCAAAACAATCTCCAACTTGAAATCTTCAGACAATTGTTTGTTGAGAAAGATCTTCTAACATTCTCCCCTCGAATGTAAAACCGCGATGATCCTCTCTTTTGACATTGTAGAACATAAACAATAACGATCTTCAGAATTGATCTTTAACACACTTTCTCTTCAAAGGCAATCTTTATCAGCAAACTGTTGTAAAATTGATCTTCACATTCAACAACTCTCAGACATTGTAGCATCGGAATAATCTTCAGTAATAATCTCTAGTCGCACTCCTTTTGAGTCTTTTGCCAATTTTGATGTTACTCCCCCTTGATCTTTATAACAAATTCACCTTTTTAAGTCTTTTGCCAATTTTGATGTTACTCCCCCTTGATCTTTATAACAAATTCCCCTTATAATGTTTGGAATTGGACATTTCATTCATTATTACATACTCCCCCTTATGATGAAATGAGAATCATTACATCATACACAAGAATGAATGAAATTTTCCGCGAAAGCCGCCAATTCATGAAATTGTAAGTAGATCTTTTCAAATCCTCTTTTTGTGATTTTAAACATGTATTGCAAGAAGTGCAGAAGGTAAGGGAAAAGGAAAAATGTGATAATTTCCCTATATATTTATCTACATGAAGAATGGTTGATGATATGTATAGTTTTGATAGATGAAACTGGATTAGTGCAAGAATTGTATTTTGAAATTTTGAACCATGTATTATGTACTGGTAGATTCTTATACTAAGGGACCAATGTGGTGTATAAACATGTATTTCTTGTGTATGAAGTATATGTTACATGCAATATATGGTGTGGGGTGTTACATGAACAAACGTTCACGAACATAAATGAACGAACGGTACTCTTGTTCATGTTTGTTCGTTTAATTAAACGAACAAAAAAATTTGTTCATGTCCGTTCATTTATTAAGTAAACGAACTTCCCGCCGAACGGTTCACGAACCTTCGCTGAGCGTTCGGTTCGTTTACAGCCCTAGTTACAACTAGATTCATATCCATTGGGGTACTAGATGGTTTACACCCTAAATACCCAAAATCATTTAATAACTCTAAACAATGTTTTCTTTGTGACATACAAACACCATTATTGCAATCCAAAATTTCAATTCCTAAAAAGAATTTTAGTTTTCCCAAATCCTTTATTAAAAAATTGCTCTTTAAGTATTCCTTAAAGTTTTTTATTTCAATTACACTGTTCCCAATAATCACTATATCATCAACATACACAAGGAGAACAAGAAAAATAGAGCCAACTCCTTTTGTAAATAAAAAGTAATCACTAATACTTTGAACGAACCCATTATCAACTAAGCATGAAGAAAGTTTGGCATACCATTGACGAGGAGCTTGTTTTAGACCATATAAAGACTTGACAAGTTTACATACACGATTATCATTAGAAATATAGTATCCTTCAAGCAGGGTCATATACACATCTTCTACCAAGTCACCATATAGAAAAGAATTAATCTAATTGATTTAAATGTCATTTAAATTGAACAGCTAGAGCAATAATACACCTTACAATGACCATCTTAACAACAGGAGAGAAAATCTCTTCATAATCAAGACTTTCTCTCTGACTATAACCCTTAGCTACTAACCTGACCTTATATCTTTCTATTTCACCAGTGGATTTATATTTAATCTTATAAACCCATTTACAGCCCATAGCTTTTCTATTTTTAGGTAACTCAGTAATATACCAAGTTCCATTTCTGTGTAAAGCTTCCATTTCATCGTTCATGGCTTTTACCTAATTTTCATCACTACTAGCTTCTTTAAAAGATTTGGATTCAAGAGACTTATTAAAATTAGAAACAAAACAGAAATTTTCAGACGAAAGGCAAAAATAATTTACAACCCTTTCTATACCATATTTAACTTTCCCTTCTACAATAAAATCATTATATTTTTGAGGAAAACTGGTAGGTCTAGTTGATCTTCTAATAGACTGAGTTTGGGATTGAATACCCTCAGAGATATGGCCTAGAGAAATATCATTGTCATCACTATTATTTTCAGTTTGAGGCACAGTATCACGAGGAACACTAGCAGCCACTTCAGAGCTATCCAAATGTTGCCAACTGGTAACTCTACCGAGGTCATCTTCTTGAGAATGACCTTGGTTATCTTAAAACCCAGAGCTACCTAACAACTGCCTATTGTCAGCTCTGGATGGGCTACCTAGCATACTACGATTATTGTGTTCAGAATGGGGCTCACAACTATTCTCGTCATTGGGTGCCAAAACATCAAGATCATTAGAAGAACTAGTAGTCATAAGATCAAAGAAATTAATATTGGTTATACCACCAGTATCAACTTCATTAGTCTTGTCCATACTCATCTTAAAAGAAAAAACATTTTCATAAAATTTTACATCCCGAGAAAGAATAATTCTTTTAGAATCCAGACTGTAAAACCTGTAACCCTTTTTTTTAAGTTGGCATAGCCCAACGTAACACACTTTTCAGATTTAGGGGAAATTTTATTTGTGATGTTGGGTGTGTGAGCAAAGCAGAGACACCCTAAACTTATAAGATGAGAGAGGACCGGATGAAATCCATACACAAGATCAAAGGGACTCATACCATTTAAAACAGAAGTTGGAGTTCGATTTACTAGATAAGTGGAAGTTAAGATACACTCACTCCACATATTGAGCGGAACTCCACCCTGAAACATAAGAGCCCTAGCGACGTTAAGTAAGTGTCGATGTTTACATTCCACAACCCCATTTTGTTGAGGTGAGGTTTGATGAACAATTCCTTTTGACTCAAAATATTCACTTAATGTGTGATTTGTAAACTCAATCCCATTATCACTTCTAAAAACTTTGACATACTTTCCAAATTGAGTGTGAAGAAGATTACATAAACTTTCAATGTATTCAAAGACCTTATATATTCCTTTTAAAATATAGACCTAAATGGCACGTGTAAAAATCATCAACAACAGTTAAAATATATTTGTAACCTTCCCTACTTTGCACATGATAAGGGCCCCATACATCTAAGTGAACAAGTTCACCAAGACTTCTGGACTTGTGCGTGCTAGCATCAAATTTTTCACATGTTTGTTTTTCCTTATGACAGACCTCACACGGGCCACAACCTTCACTACCAAGGTTAAGCCTATCTTTCAGAACCTGAAGTACGTGGTTAGCAGGGTGACCAAGGCGGTTGTGCCATAATTGACTGGAAACAATATATACCATACCACTATTACTAAAAGGGAAGGGAACCTTACTGTTAGTATTCTGATCAAAGAAATACAACCCATCTTCCTGACTACCGGTCCCTATAATACTCTTCTAATGACAGTCCTGAACATAACATTTGGATTCATCAAACCATATGAAAACTTTATTATCCCTAGCCAACTTGTGGACATGCAAAAGATTTACATTGAAATCCGGAACGACAAGAACATCAAAAAGAATAACATTATTAGATAGTTTCAGGTTCCCAATTTTATTGATTTTAGCTTTTGTCCCATTTGGATGGCTCACTTTAAAGGTTAGATCAATGACATCAACAACATTATTCTAAATTTAAACAGTTTGAGGTCATATGTAGATTAGCTCCAGAGTCAATGCTCCAACTTGATTGGGAATTTTAAAACATATTTCCTATACTGGCAGTGGATCCATCAGAGGTAGATTTTAGATCAATTAATCTCATAATTTTAGCAACCCGTTTCTCTGAAAAGGGAAAAGATGGTTTAGGAAAGACAGGTTAAGAGGCAGAAACATTTCCAGCTCTGGGTCTGAAATTCAAATTTTGAGGTTTAAAGTTTTGGCTTTGATTTTGAGGTCTGGGTCTATTTTGAAAATCTTTGGGAAACCCTATAAGTTTGAAGCATCTTTCAATAATATGTATTATTGCACCACATTGCTTACAAACAAGAGTGTTGGGGTTTCTACCTAGTTTTCTTCTATTATCAATGCTTTTATTAAGGAAAGCAGAACTTTGAGTTTTAATACGACTTTGATTTGGATCCCCCCATATGAGATTCCTCCCTTGAAACAAGGGAGAAGGCAGTCTTAACAGAAGGAACAAGATCCCCAGTCAAAA